GGTGTGGGTGTGGGTGTGGGTGGGTGTGGGTGGGTGTGGGTGTGGGTGTGGGTGTGTGGCTGTGGATGTGGGTGTGGGTATAGGTGTGAGGTGTGGGTAGTGGTAGGAAGTTACCGTTCCCAGACCGTTCCTGGTAACGGTAACGGTAACGGTAACGAAAAAGTTCCCAGTTATCGAGAACGCAGGTAACGGTCAGGAGACTAGCTAGCATCAATCTCATAGCCTTGGTCCTCAAGAACAACTATTGGCGGTACCCTTGTGTCTGCAAGCCCCACCATTGGAGATACCGTTCGGTCCGCAAATGCTAGTATAAGCAGATACCTTTAGCTCATCAAGTGCTCGTATAGCGGGGTACACTCAGCCCAACCAGTGCAACTATTACGTGGTACCGTGCGTCCAACCAATGCAAAACTTGAACCAAACCGTTGTGCCATCACGACCAATTGCCAGGAATGGGGGTATCCTTGGCCCAAGCATGGCAAAAAAGTGGCGCGGTAATGTGGGCCCAACCTATGCAAATTTTGTGCCGAACCCTTGCACCATCAAGTTGAATTGCCAGGAAGGGGGATATCCTTGGCCCAAGCATGGCAAAAAGTGGCGCGGTAACGTGGGCCCAACATATGCAAATTTTGCGCGGAACCCTCATGCCATCAGGTTCAATTCCCAGGAATGGGGACAGCCTTGGCCCAAACAGTGCAATGGCGCGTGGCACCCTTGTCCGAACAATTACTGGTGTTCTCAGTGCCTTTGGACCCTCAAGTATTACTCTTGGGGGGCACCCTAATGCCCTGAAATCAAAGTATTGGGAGGCTCTTTTCGGTCCTCCAAGAGGACCCGATAATATCACGCAATGCTAGCACTTGGTGGACCAAGAGTAACCCGGGAACATAACGGAAACTTCCCACCCCTACCTCCAATTGTGGGACTTGAGGACCGAAAGGTACTCCGAATACTAGGACTTGAGGCCCCAAAGGTACCCCCGAATAATAGGACTTGTGGGCGGAAGCTACGGTTTGATGACGGTACACACTCTTCTGACCGTTCCTGCGTTCCCGGGAACTAGTAACGGGCCGTTATCGTTCCCGGAAACGCGGGCATGGAAAAATTACCAGTTACCCGGGAACTGGGAACGGCAACGGTAACTTCCCACCCCTAGGTGACGGATGTGAGTGTGCGGGTGTGGGTGTGGGTGTGGCGTGGGTGTGGGTCTGTGTAAGTGTAGGTGTGGGTATGGGTGTGGGTGTGGGAGTGAGTGTGAGTGGAGTGTAGTTGTGGGTGTGGGTATTAGTAAAAAGGGGCACGATACCCACACCCACACCCACACCCTCGTCAGAAGTCGAAAAAAAAAAAGTTTTTCGTCGTCCACGACCCAAATCACCAGTTATCTTTGGACAACCAGGAAAAACACAAAAATTAGGCATAACTTTATTTGAATACTACTTGTTTTGCTTTATTATTTACTTTTGCAAAGATATAAATATGTGCAAAAAAAGGCTACGGGTGACAGATGCAAAAACAAAGGAAGAGAGACACTCTAGACGGTCAAGCAGTCTAGGCAGTCAGACAAACATGCATCTGTGTTTATTTATTTATTTTTTTCGTTCTGTTATATCCATATTGAATATTCACTTCTTTATATGACGCAATATAACAATGATTGTCGAAATATATACTGCAAAAATGCATTAAAATCGTTGAAAAATAGCCCGCAACCTCGTAAGTTAGACATACTGTTGTTCATTCCCTTCTACCAAAAAAAAAGTAATTAATCATTTTAGAGCGAAAAAAATTTGTAATCATTTTTTTCTCAGGAGGGTTTCCAGAAAATCTTACAGAAAACCATGATCACATAATACAGGAATCCTGTCAAATACCCAGTTTTGTTCAGTTTTTCATTCTCTATCTAATGCTGCTTGTCCGAGATCTTCATCGCTTTTCTGTGTTGAGTTATTAAGATTTCAAAAAAATTGCAAATTTTAAAATTTTGAAAAAAATTTAACTACTTGAATTCAACGTTGGTGATTCAATTTTTTTTCAAAATGTAGCCCATTCCCTGCTGAATACCGCCATGTAATTAGAAATGCTTCATCATTTCTTAGTTTTTCAGAAAAAAACATTTTTGTCGACCAGTGGATCCAAAAACCATGGTTTTCTAGAAAACATACTTGCAAGCATTTTGGAGAAAAGTGTCCGCTAGGACAAAAGAAAGAGCATGATCTGAAACCCTTAAACCCCAGTTAGCTATACATTCGGTCAAGACCGAAAAAAGTTAGCCTAGACCAACTTTCTCGTCTAACACGCCTATTCTTCTATGCGTGAGAAGAAACTTCTTCGACAACATCGACAAGAATAATTGTACCATCACATAGATGAACTACAGTAGAAACTTCTTATGAAAAATCAATATGTCTTGGAGTATCAATAAGATTGATTAAATATTTTTTATCATCTAAATAAATAAAAATGAATGTTTTTTGTAAGTTTAATAATAAATTAAAGAACTTTTTTCATGAACAAATGTAACAGCGCTGGATTTCATTGTAATACCTCGCACCTATTCTCTTTTTAGACTATCCATTAAACGTAGCTATATAGTATGATTATCAAAATCTTATTCATATTAATTTTTTCACTCACTTTACCAGCCAAACGTGCCACAATAATTCCATTAGAAACAAGTATTCAGAATTGTACGACATCTATTGAACTACAAAGATATTGCATAAATTCTTATTCAACAAATAATGAAAATGGAAAAAAAATAAAAAATAAAAATTATTCTTGATTGTCATTTTTGTCATATAACTTCTAATAATCATCTATTTCTAAATGATTTCTTTCTTCCTTTTTTTTTTGTTTCAATAAATATTTTTTCTTCGAATTATCTATCTATCCTGTTCGAACGAGATAAATGACATCTTGTTTTCCAAAAAAGTTTTACACAATCTCATTTCACTTTATATTTTATCTTACATAAGGGAAATAAGAAGAAAATCATCAATATTTGTGTAGTTCTATTTCCGTTCATATCAACAATAAAACCGTTTATTTCTGTCCTGGTTTGTTTCATTTTAGATTAAAGAAAATTAAATGCGTTATATTCCTACTATTTTGGATGTTATGTGTTACCATGACAAGGCTAATGTCTCGTCAACATCTTCACAAATATCTGTATCATCTCCATTTATATTTGATATTGCTCGATTAAAAAATGATGAATTAATCTATAAAGAAGAAAACATCTCCGATGAAGCTCGTCTTTATTTCGATAATAATCGTAGTAAATTACAGCGT